AACTGAATAAAAAAAGTATGAATTTGATAGAGACTAAGTCATATGAAGATATTGTTTTTTTGCAAGAAGATTTTATGTTTCTTGTTTTATTCATATTATACTATTATTAATTTTTTTAGTCCTTTTAAATATAAATTCTACTTTATATTCTTTCTAAATTGTATGTATATATATATATCTAATATTACTGCTACATATATTTGAAAATGTATGTTGCAAAATCTCATTCTTTTTTTTTTTTTAGAAAATTCATCCAAATCACTTTTTTGGGTAACTCTGATTTGAACACTTATATTGACATATCAAAATAGTTTGTAATATAAGTTAAATAATAGAACTTGAATAGAAAAAAATGACACGAAATCGGAAATGAGAGAAGGGATAAGAAAAAACCCAAAAAATAAAATTTTGCAAGTGAAGCAATTACAAAAGAAAAAGTTAGTAAAGATTTATAAGAAGAAGAAGAAGTGTAAAAAACTTTCCCTTATTTTTTAATAAGAACGGTAATATACTTTCCCTTATTTTTTAATATTTCATGCATGTAAGTTAGTAAAGATTTATGAGAAGAAGAAGAAGAAGAACTGTAAAATACTTTTCCTTATTTTTTAATATTTCATGTAGATTTTGTATATTAAAAATAACTATAGTTTAACTTTTTTATTAAAATAATAATTGATACTTTTTAACCTCAATTTTTAAGGATTATAAATTTAATTAAATAAGGATTAAAAATAACTTATGAAGGTGAAAATAATAATAATAAAAGTATGATATAAAATTATTTGATTATTAAATTAATAATTAATAAAATTTATTTTAAAAAAAGAAAATCAAAATGCTACCCTATGTATAAACGAAGTCTATATATCCAACAATGAATAATTTATATGCATATATATAATAAGTTGTAAGGATAGTAATCTAACTAGTCCATAAATGTAATGAAAGCCCAAATATAAAGGAGCACATGCATGAGTTAGTATGGACCTTACATACATTTAAATAGATCCAAAAGAACATATAGAAGTGCAACATGTGTCAAGCACTCCCAAGGGATTTATAAATACCCTCGCACCCCTCAAATGTACGAGATTTTTCTTGAACACTTTTCTTTCTATATACTCCACTCTCTAAAAAATGCCCTAAGTGTAGACTATTGCTAATTTAAGCGTCAGAATATCTACCTCGAGAGCCACCCTCGGAGCTTTGCAAGTCTATTCGACAAGAAGATCTGAGCAAGGAAGGACTAGAAGATTTATTGCAATTGCATATGCTACATTATGCATTAAGTAAGATATGCATTTATTTAAAATATAATATAATATAATATTTATTTTTTATCATTCTTTTCAAAATGCTACCCTATGTATTAATTAGATATGTATTTACAAAAAATTTAATAAAAACTAAAACCGAACGGCCCGCTCCGGCCCAATAGCATTAGACCCTGGGTTAGGGTTGTTCACCTCCATGGATTGCACGTTCAAGCTCCACGGAAACTCTTTTCCCTTTCCCCCAATTAATTTCATAAATAATTACAAATTGTTCAAAAAAAAAAAACTAAAAACCATAATATAGGTGAAGAGATTGGTTCATATAATCATTTTTTTTTTTTGCAACATGCTATTAATTTCTTTTGATATATGAAGTGACAATATATCCACTTATTTAATAACATGAGAAAATTGTATAAAAAATAAGATAAAAAAATTATTCCAATAACATTTCCCATTCAAGAAGATATGGAATTAAATAAATATTATCCCAATTAATGCTGAAGATTGTCGGTTCGAATAACTTTGATCCAAAATGGAAACTAAATCATAAACAAAAAAAGAAAAGAAAAAAAAGGCAAGAAATCAACACAATTGCAAGCGTGCAGAGACTTCACCTTCATCAATGGCTTCAAAACAGAAACCCTAGCTATTCCTCAGCTCCCCTCAGCTTCTGCACAGAGAAGGCACCTCCTCCCCTCCCATCCCCTCCATCTCCTCCTGATACCTTTTCTTCTCTTCAAATTCCCTCTTGTTCCTATTTCCGAGCTTTACCTTTGTACAGAAATTGAATTTCTTCGTCTTCTCTCCCTTCACATAACCCTTCCCTCCTCACACTCGCACGATGGCAAGTCCAAATCCCTCTCCGTTGTTGCCATCGCTGTCAGCAATCTTGATGGAACCCAGCACTTCCATTTGGGTTTTAGTGTGAAAAGGCTTAGATCTAGGGATATGAGAGGAAGTGAAAGAGGTAGAGATGGGAAAAGAAAGGGCAAAAGAGAAGGAAAGAAGATGAAGATAAACCCAGGTTACCATTGATCTGATCTGGGTACAGGAGAGGAAGAAACAAAAAAGGGATAGAGAAGAGGGAAAAGAAGAGGATGAGGGTAAAAACGTAATCTTATTTTCATAATGGTAAAAGTCTAATGATTTGATTATTAAATAATTAAGTTTAGTGGACCAATGACAGCTTGGTAAATTACTTTTGCCAAGTCACCAATCTTGCTTACATGTAATTTACACATCATTATAAAAAAAAAAAGATTAGGAAATCACTTATTGTAGTGATATAGAGACAATCATTTTATATCATGTTTTATATGATTTTAATGTATTATTAAATAAATAAATCAATTTCTTTAACATCATGGGTTTCAAATGAATTAAAAGAGTCAATAATTTAAATGATATGTTGATTATATCAAAAAATAATACAAAAAAATTATCTTAAAATCATTTTCCAATCACTTAATGAAAATGTTGTCACATCATCATTTGTTTAAAGGGTCAAATTACAAAATTTTAGGAACTAAATTAGGTTTTGTTAGTTGATGGATCAAATTAAAAGTTTAACAAAAAAAAAAAACAGCCGCATCATAAAAATTACTACAAAAGTAATTTTGTCGGTTTGGAGTTCTACTTAATACAAATACCTAAATACAAAGTTTAAAATAATTATCAAAATATGTAACTTTATTTAAAGTTTAAAATTATATATAAAAAATAAATATTAAAACAATTAACCCTATAAAAAAATTTAGCTTGATATTCAATAAATAAAAATAACTATAATATCTTAAAATAAGGCAAAACATGCAAATTAACCCTGCAACTCATTAAGCGGTGGCAAAATAACGCCTCACGCTAGTTCACATGCAAATGAATCCCTCAACTTGTCTTCAGTGGCAATTGAACCCATTTGTGTAACATGAGATCATCTATTCATTTAACTTAATATTGGGAAATGATTTTTGTACAACCTGATATGTTATTAAAATGATTTGTTCTTTTAATTTATGTGGAACCTGTGATATTAAATGCATCAACTCATTTAACGACATGTGAAAGTTGTATAAAAAGGTGGTTTAAAAATGTTGTCTCTATAGCATCACCTCTTAATATTTTGCTCATCACAACCTACTCTGTGTCTAACGTGGATTATTTTTGCTAAGATGGATGCTTTGTTGGACAATGAAATGGATTCTTTGTGATTAATGTTATTATTTATTTTTATGTCCTTAATTGTTTGGTCAAATATAATTGGGGATTTAGGGTTTTGTTTGGGTTGTAGACGTGCATGGCCTAGGGATAGGCAATTTGTGCCTGTAACAATCAAACATACTTGTAGGCTTCCTCAAGCATTGTGGAATTGGTCCATCTTCCTGTCCCATGGCATTAGCTTTTGCAGATTCCACATCTTCTCACTCACTTTATACCTCCTCTGCTTTGCCAAATCGCTTTGTGAAACCACTTGAGTTAAGTTAAAGCCTTGCACTACAAATTGCAGGGCATGGGTATTGTTACCCATGGGTGAGTCCAATCACGCACGCTTTGAAGAAGCAACGAGTTGGGGTTAGGTTTTCTCGAGTGAGCAGAGGCTGGGTAAAGGCTTGGAAAAAAAGTCAAGTGATTGAGTTGAATCGGCAAGACAATCTTCAAATTTGGGAAAAGTGAGCAAGAGCGATGGTTGGAATGAGTCAAGAGTGAGTTTTGGTTGTTTTTGGTTAAGTGAAGGAAAATCATGGGTGGAGAAATTGAAGTTGGAAGAGGAAACAACAAGGGAGAGATTGCAGGGTAAACTGATGAGAGTTTGGAAAGTGCCATTGGCAAATAGGGGGTTGAAGTCTGCATCTAGGTAATTTTTCCTTCGCAAAAATTACCATGCTGATGAGCTGATGATATGTATGATTTGCATTTTTATCTCTCTTTTTTATTTTTCTTCTTCTGGATGAATACCTGACATTGATTTTTGATTTTTTTTTTCCTTTTTGAATGATGTTTTTTGGGTCTCCTTATGCAGAAAATGCCAACAATTCACGTGAGTTCACAAGCCTATAGAATCCTTTTGGTTTTGTTTTGCAAAAATTGTAGGAGTAAGATGGAAAATTTTACTGCAGCTATGGAAAAATGGAGAGATCAAGGAAGAAGTGAGTGGAGAGCACAAGGCATGGCTTGCAATTGAAGAAGTGAGGGAAATGATAAAGAAGTTTGTATGATATATATTGGTGTATCTTTTTCTCTTCATCTTGATTTTCATGTTTAAAGAATTAGCTTCTCTAATATTTTACATGATGCCATTGTGCTCACTTTGTCCAGCAAAGTGTCCATCTCAACAAAAATAATCCACAACAAACAGAGTAGGTCGTGATGAGCAAAATGTTAAGTTTAAACGAATTGATGATGTCATGTTGCATAGAAGGATTGATTTGCCACTAAAGACAAGCTGAGGGGTTTGTCATGAACTAATTCCAAGGGTTATATGCCATCGCTCCACAAGTTGAAGGGTTAATCTGCATGTTTTGCCTTAAAACAATTTTATCATGAAAATTATTATAAAAATAATTATATAATATTAAAAAAATAAAAAATGTCCCGTGAAACACGTGGGCTTTAAAATTTAGTTATATTATAAAAGAAAAGTTTCATTAGTAATATATTAATAACTTTGATAGTGTGTATATGTTTGTATATTGTGTACATGAAGGGTAGAGGGTAGTTTAGTCATTACAGATATACTCTTGTCATTATGTATAAATACTGTAACCCTAATCAAGTTATGAAATGAGAGTGATCATTGTCTTCATGGTATCAGAGCCGTAATTCAACACCTAGGGTATTCTTTGTTTCTCGTTTTCATTCCAAATTTCACCTTTAGAAAACATGTCTATTGATCCTTTTACTACCTCTGTTTTGTCCATTGTCTCCTCTGGCACTGCTGTCAATTTACCCTCTGTTCTGCCTATTCCACCATCCTCCTTGCTCTTTCTCTGATTCTACTTTGTTGGTCACTTCTCTGCCTCTTACTCGCCGAACTCACTCCATGGTGACCTGATCACAGGATGCTACACGGAAGCCTCGGATCTTGCCTTCTATGATCACTAATACTGTTTCTTTACAGGAACCTCGTTCTTTCAAGCAAGCTCAACAATCTGCTGAATGGCGGCAGGCAATGGCTGAGGAGTATACGGCTCTTCTTCGTCATAAAACTTGGGTGCTTGTTCTGCGGCCTCCTGATGTGAATGTCGTCTGCTCTAAGTGGGTTTTTAAGTTTAAACGACATGCAGATGGTACTCTTGAGCGGTATAAAGCTTGTCTTGTTGCTCAAGGCTATACCCAACAATCTGGGGTGGATTATGATGAAACATTCATCCCAGTGGTTAAACCAGTAACTATTCGCACTGTGCTTGCTCTTGTTGTTTTAAGTTCTTGGCCTATTCATCAGTTAGATGTCAAGAATGCCTTTTTGAATGGATATTTATCTAAGCTTGTGTATATGCATCAACCTCCTGGGTTTGTTGATCAGAGATATCCAGATCATGTTTGTCTCTTATAGCGAGCTCTTTATAGACTTAAACAAGCTACTAGAGCTTCGTTTCAGTGATTTACTACTTTTCTGCTTTTTCGGGGTTTTGTGCAAGCTTTCATTGATTGTTCCATGTTTGTGTTTCAGCCTGCTGGATCCATAGCTATTCTTCTTCTTTATGTTGATGACATTATACTTACTGCCTCTACATCAGCTCTCTTGAATTCTATTATTTCTTTACTGAAAGCTGAATTTTTTATGATTGATTTGGACCTCTTAGCTATTTTTTGGGTATTGCAGCACACTTTAACTCTGATGGTTTATTCCTTTCTCAGTCTAAATATGTTTCAATGTTGCTAGACAAGAGTGGCATGGCAGATTGCAAGTTAGTTTCTACTCCTTTAACTCCAAAGCATAAGTTACAGGCTCATGATAGTGCCCTTTGTTCTGATGCTTCTAGTTATTGTAGCATTGTTGGGGCTTTACAATATTTGACCTTTACTCGACTTGATATTGTCTTTGCAATTAATCAGGTATGTCAGTATATGCATGCTCCCACTATGAATCATTTTTCTGTCGTGAAGCATATTCTTCGTTATCTTAAAGGCACTTTGCATCATGGTCTTCAACTCTTTCGTGATTCTTCTTTTTTGTTGCACGCTTATACTGATGCTGATTGGGCTGGTTGTTTGGATACGCTTCGTTCTACTTCTAGTTATTGCTTATTTTTTGGTCGCTCACTTATTTCTTGGTCTTCTAAGAAGCAGCATACTATTGCCCACTCTAGTGCTGAGGCTGAATACAAGGCTCTTGCGAATTTAGTTGCTGAAGTTCTTTGGGTCAAGCAATTATTAGCTTAGTTGCTTGTTTCTCTTCCTTCTCCTCTTATTGTTTTTTGTGACAATATCAGTGCTCTATATTTGGCACTTAATCCTATTCAGCATCAAAGGACTAAACATATTGAAATTGATATCCACTTTGTCCGAGAAAAGGTGGCTAGTCGCATTATCCTTCTTCGATATGTTTCGTCTTCTTTGCAACGTGCTGACATTCTCACGAAGGCTTTATCTACACCAGCTTTTTATTCACAAAGATCCAATTTGAGCGTGTTATGTAACCCGTCTCAAATTGCGGGGGGATGATAGTGTGTATATATTTGTATATTGTGTACATGAAGGGTAGAGGGTAGTTTAGTCATTACAGATATAGTCTTGTCATTATGTATAAATACTGTAACCCTAATCAAGTTATGTAATGAGAGCTATCATTGTCTTCAAAATTGAGTATCAGAAAGGGCATTTTATAATCCAACATAAACAACACTTTTTTGAAAATTTAAAATGATTATGGATTCGATTGCTTAGTTTAAAAAGACAAGAATGATTTTAGAGGGATTATGGACGCATAACCATTTGAAAGTCACATAAATTTATTAATATTGTTTTTAAAATAATATATTTTTTTATTTTAGTTATTAAAAACTATTTATTAAATATTTAATAGGTTAAAATTAGCAACTGACGTTTTGAGACATTATAAATCAATAAAATACTTCACTTGGTTGAATTAAAGTATCTTATTTTATCTATTCACAATTATTAAAAAATTTATTTATTACAATAATTACTATTTATAATTCTATTCTTCACCTTTACTTTTAATTAAATGAAAAAATCATAACATATTTACATCTTTTTAGAAACAATGGTAAAATTAAAATATTCATATTTAATATCTTATTAAAATAAGAAGTGAGGCAATTAAACTAAATAACCCCACTTTTATTTGGAAGTGAACCTAATAATATCTGTTTGAGAAAACGAAAGGAAAAGAAAAGAGAGTGAAGGAGTGAAAACTCCTCTATGTAGATAATAAAAATTTGGTTAAATGTTAATTTTGGTCTCTCAACTTTTTAGAGTTGTATTTTTTTGGTCCCTCAACAATTTTTTGTACTTTTTTGATCCTCAACTCTAAGAACCATACAATTTTAATTTTTTGTCAATTAAGTGACACTTGGCTGTTAAAATATTCCAGAATGGCATATTTTTAATGACGTGTAATAACACATCATACAATTAGCTTATGTGGACGTAAAAATGCCAAATCACATTCCACAACATTAAACCATTTACAAATTAAAAGACAAATACAATTTTACCCCCACTTTCATCTTCTTCGTGTTCATGTTCGTGGTTCTCTTTCTCACTCTGTTCATATTCCCTTTCTCCTCTATCGTTGTTTATCTCCTTTCCCCTTTTCCTTTCCCTATCACCTGAGCCCTCCTTTTATGTCTTTTTTCGAAAAAAAGGGCATTTTATTTCTCTTCTCCCATTGCTACCAATGACAATAATAAATTTCACAGTCTAGTGCTACAACACATCTAAGAAAAAAAAAAAGCTGAGGAAGAGAGAAATGTGTAGGTTTTGGCCTTTTGACCTTCTAAGCAATTTTAGCTTCACCAGATACAACTCAAACTATAACCACCACACGTGAAGGAAAACAAGTATAAGACTAATTTGGCTCAAGAGATAAAACTTGCTTTTGGATTTTAATTCGTTGCTTTCCACCCATCTCAATCTCTTCTGAATCGTCTTTAACATTTTACCGAAAGATAAGGCAAATTGTTCTAAGAAAAAATATATACTAGATTTGAAAAAAAAACCC